GGAAAGAAGTATTTGATCTGGACTAGAGATGCCTGCGCTTCTGAGCAGCCACTGGACAGCACAAGTCTGAGCGCCCTGTTTTAGAATCCCTGCAAGACTCAGAGCTTTCCAGAATCACAAGCTTTCCTTGAACCCCGGCTGAAAATCGGTCATAAGGTGACTGTCCTACCACATGGTCAAATCCAGGAGGAACGAGCAGTGCTGCCCTGGCAACAGAGGGCCTTATTCCCAGGAGGCCCTCCATGAGGGCTTCTTGGCACAATGACAAGGATGACTGTCTTGAAGCTTCTTCTTGTGACATATTAAGGTACAGCTGGGCCCCCCAGGAGGTGACCCCACCCCCCCCGCGAGGAAAATGTGGCCTTCAGGGGCTACTGGGTCAACTTGGCAACCGGACCTGGGGCAGCCATCTCACAGGCTCAGAGTCTTCCAGGTAGACGGGACTTACGCGGCCTCCAGCCCAGGGAGGGGGACATGCAGCTTTGGCATGAACTCCTCCTGTACCTGAAGATTTATCTCCATTTTGCTTTAGAACAACACAGAATAAGATTAATCCCACCACCGGGTTCTTACTGTCCTTTTCTCAGTTTGAACAGTCTTGGTGGCCTCATCCTCAAGCATGATGCCCAGACCCTCAGCTGTCCCGTCCTTCCCTCCACCATGATCCAGCTCATCACACTTCCTCCTGAAAGGTGTCCCAGGGCTGAGGACAGCGTCCAGATGTGGACCGACCAGCTGGACCTCATGCTGGGTACTATCTCCCCCGTGAATGTGGCCAAAAATGGTGCCTTGGGGTAGCCATGTGGCACAACTGGCTCATGTGCTCCCCTTCCACCTCTCCCAGAAGGAATTCCTCCACTGAATTTCACCTCCCACTGGGTCACTGGGACAGTGGGTGTGTGGTGAGTAACTGTCTGCAAAGCCATAAGCTTCTTGGGAGAAAAGCAGTAGCCAGAGTCCAACCCCTTATGAGCTGATTGAGAAAAGCAGGGGCTCGGAAAGGGCTGAGAGCAGTGGGCACCTTATCTAGGTGCTGGTCTGGTGACTCATTTCTATTGTATAGGAGTGAAACCCCAGCTCGGGTGTAGGAGGCCCTGTGGAGGTGGGGAGGCTGCCCCGCCATCTCTCAGCTGGGGCAGGAAGCCTGCCCTGCAAGCAGCCCACCTCTCCCCTCTCCTCCCTGGGGGTGAATCAGCTGATGGGGACCGCTGGTGCCTTGGGAAAGAGGAAAAGACAGCTGACCAGCCAGGCTTCCGTCTCTGCTCAGCCACAGCTGAATGGAGTTACTGTTCTTTCTGCTGGAGCATCTTCCGAGGCCGAACCATCATTTTAATCCAGATGTAGCTCAATCGCCTCTACTGCCCTCCCTGAACAGGCAAAACGCTTGTCCCTGGAAGTGGCCAGACTGTGGAGACCTCGGCAACTTTCCTGGTCTGATGGGGAGCTGTTTACAGCACACAGCAGCGAAAGGTGAATTAGTCTGTGCTGACAGCTTTGGAAAGAACCAGGGCCCAGCCCTCCTCTCAGGGAGGGCTCCTACACCCTAAAACAGGACAGAGCGGGCCGAGTTCCCGTGGCTGAAGGCCTCGTGTGAGGGCGCCAGCTCCGGCCTCACTGAGTCAGCACCCTGGAGAGCTGCCCCACCCCCTTCCTAAGCGGTGAGGTCAGCGCAGATGCGCCCGCCTGGCTCCAGCTCACAGCGGGAGAGGGAACCGCGGCCGCCAGGCGAAGCTCCCAAGCAGAGTTGCAGTGACTCTCATGAAGGCTGTGGAAAACTCCAGAACCCAAGAGGCCCAGGGAGCAGGGCTCCAAAGAGCAGCTTTGCTGACAAAATCTCACCGTGGGCACACAGACGGGTGTGGCATTGCTCAGCACTTCTTAGCAAATTGCTTCTCTGACACTGAATTATAATCTTCCTAAAAGGCAACCATTGTGAGACTCGAGTGAAGCGTCACTTCCCATGTTCCCCTGGAGCCACTGTTCCGGACACTCCGGTGCTGCATTCCTGAGAGCTCCAGACTCAAAGGAGTGGCCAAGCGTACCAGCGGAGGTGCTTCTGTTGCAAGATCCAAATTAATCCACCTCCTCAGGCTTCTCGAGGCAGCTCTCCTCCCAACCGGGCACTGAGCTCAGAGTGAGCGACATCACCTGCCCAGGGGAAAAGCACCTGCCTCGCCCGGCAGAGGCTCGAAGAGGGGTCCAGGCTGGAGAACAGCGCAACAGCCCTCCTCAGAACCCAGCCTCTGGCCTCTCTCCAGTCCACTGGTTCTCAAAAGCAGGGTGAAAAATGAATCGCTGGGGAGTTGTTGAATGCAAATCTGGGGGCCCCACCAGCGAGATGCTGACTTGGTATAGGTCTGGAGTGGGACCGGGAATCCCCCAGCAGCCCTGGGTGACCTGTCGCACGCTGGAGCACTCCACCCAGGGCGAGTGGGTGCCACTGGTGCTCCGACACTGTTAGGGGCCAGGGATCACTGTGGAGAGCCTACCGCCCACAGCAAAGAGCCGGCTGTCACGGAAGCAGCCCACTGGCCCCACGGCTGGCTGCCCTTGGCTCGCGCGGGCAGGCCCTGGCCACGCAGCTGGCCTCGCCACAACCCTGCCACCTGCTTGCTGGTTGTCAGGAGGCTAAGGGACTGTGGCTGAGCCCGGCTTTTCCCCTGGAGAACTGAAAGCACAAGGCACCCACCTTTTCACTCGGCCAGTGTGGCATCTGGAAGGACAGACAAAAGGTAGTCTCCCACAAGAAATGGCCCATATTTATTGGAGTTGGCCTAGGGGATGGGAGCTTCTGTGTCTGACCTGAAGAGTGGAGAGGCCCTTTCTTGTCCAGCAGTGGAGAGTGAACATGACTGATGTCCTCAGTGGCAGTGCCTGCACCTCTACGTGACGCCACGACGTAGGGGGGGAATGCTTGTGGCACCCTGGTGTTTTCCTCTAGGAGCACTGTTACAAGTGAGGTTCTCTTCTATAGAACCGTTGGTGCCACAGTCCACCATGGAGGGGTTAAAGAGGTTTCTAATGGGCTGTCCTGGAGACCTACCTATAATGCATGACACGGCTGCTCGGGGAATGTGCATTCTGAAAGGCTCAACTCTAATTGCGAGCAAACGTGGGGAACATCATTTGCTTGCAAGGTAGGGCCCGCCTCTGTGACTCAGCTTTGAATGTTTCCGAGGAGGCTGGGGACAAAGCCTGGGGACAAAGCCCGGGCCCTGACGGCAGAGGCCTGGCATGAATGCGCCTAAGAGGACCTCAGGCAGCATCCTCACGGACAGGCTGAGCCAGCTTCATTCCACAGGCTGAAGGTCAGGTCGTGCCAGGCTCTCGGTGGGCCCTTGGTCAAGGGCCCATGAATAAGGAGACTGTGAATGTTGCTTAGGGCCGTGAAGCCTCCTGCAGTGGGATCCAATTGTCCTACCTACCAACCACAAAGCCAAAACCTCATTGCAGGGCTCTGGCCTAGAAGACAGAAAAGCCACTTTCTACAACCACAAGAATGTTACCTTTGTCTTCACTGAGGCACTCTAATGAGCCATAGAGCATTTTACTGGAAGATATTTACAGATGAAAACACCCCCAGGGAGAGGCTGCTGTGGGTTATGTTTTCAAGTGTGCGCAGGATTCATTCCGAGCTATGCACTGTGGTTCCATGGATGCTGAATAGGGTGGCTCTGCAGACCCATTGTCACCCGTTTTGTTTGTGCTCAGGGCCCAAATAATTTTAAGAAGTACTTAGTGAGTGACCAGCTGCGATGTCTCATATTCAAATTTGGCTTATACGTTTATGCCAAATTTGGCATATGTGTTTACAGTTTGGGGACACATACACTGAAAAAAAAATCTCTTCTATTTTTTTTGGCATGACTGAAGCATGAAGCAAAAGACTAAAGTTTAAGTTTCCATAGAAAATTCTGTGAAATTGCAAAATGTCATCACTGCCAGATGGGAGGAGATAGAGGAAGGATACTTCATCCTTAGAGGCAGAAGTTGGTGGATTTGTGCACCTCGGAAGCCTGAATTAATAGTTCTACCAAACCATTCTGGAGCCTCTGGCCACAATATATAAATATGCAGACTCTTGAATGAACAATTACGAAATTGTGGTCCCTGGTTTCAATGAGTATCTTCGGGAGGAATACTAGAACCCAGGTTCCTTGTGAAAGCCATAAAATAAAGGGTATAAAGAAAACTTCTTGAGGCTCACTGTGGAAATAAAAGGCCTTGCTTTGGTTTGGGTCAGTAAGCCCTGGTACTGCAGAGATGATGGTAGAGGGAGGGGTCCGGTGCCCCAAACTGCTTACAACCCAAGCAAAACCAGGCTACAGATGTCCACGGGGCAGCCATTGTGAGTTCATCTACTCTCTCATCCGTTGTTGCCTGACCCTGGGATCTTCCTCTAACCCACTGTCAGCTAATCTGGGAGAGTAGCTAGGACTAAAACTTGATAGGAAACCCCAAGGTATGAGGCTTATCTTACACACAATCCCCCTTTCTTTTCAAACCAACACTGTGTTTCAAATAAAAGCACACCTCCCTCCCTCTCTTATTCCTGAGGCAGCCACAGAGGTGAGCTGCTATTTCCCAACAGTGTCCTGAGCCAAAACACATGAGAACACACAGGAGCAGATCCAGACTTGCTGGCCCCATGGAGATTACACAAAGCTTGGTCCACAACATGGAATAATGTAAGCGTGTATGAGGTGTTGAGCATTCCATGGATGGCCCACGTGTCAGATGCATGCCCACATCCCAGGTCTGGCGCAAGGCCCACTCCCTGGGCCTTCAGTTAAATGCAAGTTCTGTGCTACCAAGAAGATACACATCAACAGCTGAATTTCGGCTCTCGAGCCCTTTGAAGATAGGACTGCTGTATCCCAGCCCTCTGGCACCTCCTGCAACCCGCCTTCTCTCTGTGCAGGAAATGACACACTCTCTTACTGGGATCACACAGCACACATATCCACAGAAGCAGCCAAGGAGAAAACACAAATCCCATAAACAGGAACTTTATTAAACTACACATTACATAAAAGAACATACAAATGGCCCTTTAAATACATTCAGTTTATCTTAAATTTATATAGAAACTTATTTACAGTTCTGCATTATATATTTAAATTATTTTTCCAAGCTTACTACCAATAAAAGGTAATAGAATGATCACCTGTTCACACAGATGCATACAAGCTGTCCATAGGGCTAAGCGAAACACCACTTCTCAGGAAACTCAGCTTATTAGATATCAAAGCAACAACTCATTCTGAAGGTGCTTTCTTCTGAGTGGCCCTTTATGTGAGACCTCTGCTGTAGAGATGCTGGGGGTTAGTTCTGGAAGCTGATCCCAGGGCAGACATGGGTCCTTGGTTGCTCATGATGACTTGGACTCTTGGAGTTTGAAGGACGCTTGAAGACCATGATCGAGGCCATGCCCCTACTTCTGCAGACTGGGAAACAAAGGATTAAGAAGAGAGAGTGACTTGCCAAAACCACACAGCATCAGTGATGGAACAGGGACTCTGACCCCAGTTTCTAGGGTCCCGCCAAGGGGTCCCGACCCTGGCACTACCCACAAATCCACAAACTTTTGATCTCTTTCACAGGCCCTATGGTTTGAACATTTTTGTCTGCATGGTTAAATACATGATTTTTAAGGCTTTTTGGGATGGTGAAAAATGGCTCAGGATTCATCTTTGTGGAGCACTGGAAATACGTACTGAGGGCTGCTTTTACAAGAGGTTTTGTGGTCAAGTGCCTTACTTCTTCAACCATGAAGTTTACCTTTTCCATTTAGCTGACTTATGGAAGCTCAGAGTTTCCAATTAATTTGAATGGAAGGCAACATTCTACAGGAGGGAGACTGTAACATCGACCATATGGATTCATCACAAATACATTATATTTGCCGAAATCCACCTACCACTGTCAGATCTAAAACAAAGTTTCACTAACAAGTGATCAAAAGTGAAAAAAAGGGGGGGGATTTTTAAATAACAAAAAAGTTTCAAGAATTCCCCCATTTCCCAATTAGTCAGAGGGAAATAGTGAACTGGCACTGAGTAGAAATAGTACATGTTTTCCTCTTTCTTTTGAATGAAGCCTTTTTTTTCCAAAAATTTCCTGATAATATAAAATCTTCTTAAAGCAATTTTTTTGGGTCTGTTTTTAAAAACTTGATCTGGTTTTTCTCAGGATTTAAAACCACTGTACCAAAGAACAGACAGCAACATTAAAAAGTATCGAGAGAGAGAGAGAGAGAGAGAGAGAGAGAGAGAGAGAGAGAGAGAGGGAGAGAGGGAGAGAGGTGAGAGGAGAGAGCTTCTCTCCAGGCTCCAGGTCACATTAGCAAAGGAAAGAGTGGGAGACTGAAGGGTTTTTTTCTTCCCTGTAACTAGAGCGAACACAAGTCGTAGCAGCCTTCACTCAGTTTTACAACAGATACTCAAATGAGAAAACACAACGGGAAAGATGTGCTCAGCTGAACACTCCCTGATGACCTTCCATCAAAATATGGCACCTCTAAACTCTGGAAGCTTCAGCATTCTCCCAGGGGCTGCCACCCATCTGCAGGGGAGACTTGCCCCACTGCCCACGGTGCCTGCCCCAACACACAGGAGCACCCGATTTCCGTCCACCAGTCTCACTTTCCCTCCTGTCCACACCCAAACCCTCACCAAAGTCAGCAGGGTGAGGCGAGCAAAGAAGAAAGTCTTCAGGAAGACGGAGCCAACCACAGAACACCCAAGGTATTGCGGAAGTCCAGTTGCCAGCTATGCACGCGGTGGGCAGGTGGAACCCTGAGGCCAGGGAACACAAGAAGATAAAAACATCTTCACCATTTCCCCCCTGGGCCGCATTTCACTCCGTGAAAGGAACCAACTAAAACAACGTTTAAGTTTTATATTAAAACATAAGTCATTGATACATAAAAACTGGCCCCAAATCTTCTTTTACTTGTTACATAGGAAAGTCATTTTCCTCGTCTGAGTCGTTCACGGGTCTCTGTGGTCTGTTTGGGAGACGGGGTCCGCCTGGTCCACCTCCGGGGCGCGGGTGGAGATGCCTGCCCATGGCAGCAGGACGTCCGTCCGTCCGTCCATCCAGCCAGAGTCAGCGCGGCATGGTGGGCGGGCCCCACGGCTGCACCTTCGGTGACAGGAGCACTGGCAGGTGGCCCCGGCAGACTTTATGTGGAATAGACATTCGGGGTCGGCCTTTCGCAGAAATCAGTCCTCACCACCCGAACCCCATGAGGCGAGCGGGGAGCGCGGACGCCTCTCACTTCCACAAGGGATGGAGCCCCTTCCCCAGCGCCCCCCGACAGGCGTCCTTCAGCCGGAAGGAGGCCCTTTCCCCGGCCCCGCGGCCCTTCGGCGGGGCCTGGGCGCTGTCTCCGGGGCCCTCGGCTGACTCGGGCCCCTTCCGGGGGGCGCGGGCGCTGCCGATCCGCCGCAGGGCGCCGCTGTCCTTGGGGGCGGCGTCCTCGGGGCCACCCTTCACCTTCAGCTGCCGCTGCGACACGGTCCGGGTGAGGCCCGGGGATCTGGCCACAGGCGGGGAGTCGGTCCTCTGGCACCGAGACGAGGAGGCGACAGTGTTGCGGGCGAAGCTGGGGACCGGGGCCGGGCCGCGGGGCGCGCTGGGGGCCGGCGGGGCGCGGGGCGGCTCCTCGGGGCTGTCGGGGCCCTGGGGGCCGGAGCGGCATATCTTGCTCTCCTCGGGCTTCTGCCGTGGGACATTGCGCAGGGGCTTGGCGCTGGGCTTCCTGAAGGAGCTCCTGGGCGGCGCTGGGGGCTCCCTCCCGGGCCGGACCGCCGTCGAAGGCCTCCCGGGCGACGCGTTCGGGGTCCCCAGCACCGAGCTGCGGCGCGACAGCGGCGCCGGCGGGTTAGCGCCGACGGGGCCCTCGCGAGGGGGGCGCTTGCCGGGTGGGGGGGCGCGGCCGGCGCGCGAGATGGGCACGACCTTGCGCATGCTCTCGCTCTCCCAGCCCGTCAGCGTCCGCACCGGCCCCGCCGCTGCCGCGCCCCGCCGGGCAGGCCCAGCCCTGGACGCCCCCGTCGACGCCTCTTTGAGGGGGCTCCTCTTCGGGGCCATCACCTCCCTCCCTCTGGCCGGCCCGTCCTTGGGCAGGCCCCCCTTGCAGTCCGGCTCGCTCTTCCCTGAGAGGGAGCGGCCGGAGGCGGAGGCGGCAATGGGAGCCTCCGCAGGCGGGTGGCAGGCAGGGTTTGAGGAGACCTGGCTGCCGCCCGTCTCCCCAGCCCTGGAGGACACGGAGCCCTCCCCGTCGCCCCCCTCCCCCGGGTCCCCCCCTTCGGGTCTGGAGTCGGTTCCCTCCGAGCAGTCCAGGGTCAGCGAGCAGTCGGTGGTGTCCGAGATGTAGAACAGAGACCCAGGATCTTGGTTCTCGGGGTCGCTGCTGCCCTCAGATACCGGAGCCGCGCTGATGGGCTCATCCGGGGCAGCGCTGCCATCCCCCGGGACCGGGTTGGGACGCCCCTGGGCACCTCTGCCCACAGGCGTCGGGCTGCCGTTGCTGGCGCCCAGGGACTGCGGGCTCTCATCCCCCACGGACGCCAGCTCCATTGGGCTGAAGTCATTTACGGTCAGCGGGGCCAGCTCCTCCGGGTCCTTGGCAGCCTGGAGGTCGAACTGGGCCAGACCCGTCACCAGCTCATGCTCCCTAATCCCTAGAGCCAACGGCGGAAGTGGAGGGGACCGCACGGAACCCAGGCCCACGGGCTCGCTGTTCCTCTTTCGGAGGATGCTGACCCCATTGCGCCGAACCCGGGGTAAGGCGGGGGCGGGTTCCTCAGGCCGGGGCGCCGGGAGCTGCCTCGGCCAAGCGGAGGTGGGGTGGGGGTTTTCCTCCTGGGCCTCCGAGGCCGGAGGTCTGTGTGCTGGGCTGGAGCCCTGGTCCCTCTGTCCTCCAGGCTCCGTCTGGGCTCCGCTGGCTGGGGCCTGCCGGGGGCAGCTCCGGGGCAAGCTGTGGAACTTGAGCTCCTCCGGGCTGCCAGTGGAGCTCTCCAGGAAGGTCAGCAGCTCCCGGTCGGCCACGATGCCCAGGGAGAGGCGGGAGCGGCGGGTGTTGGGGGGCCGGTAGGAGAGGCTGATGGGCCTGGAGTACAGGAAAGGCAGCAGGTCCTCCACGCCCCTCTTAGTCAACAGTTCCACGTCATTCTCACTGCTGCTCCGGCCGAATCCAAGCTCCCCAGCCGCCCAGAAATGCCGTTTCTGCTCCAGCTCCTTCAGCCGCTGCAGGCGCCTCAGCTCCTGCACCTCGCGGTCGTGGTTGTCCTGAAGGAGGGACGGAGAGAAGCCAGAAGAGGCATGAGACACGTGGGACCCAAGTGCAATTCCAGAGACAGCTACCCTAAGGCCCCACTGAGAGACACAGGCTGGAGGAGAGACCTGGGTCATTTGTTTCACCGAGGGAGACGGCCTGTGTTTGCATGCGAATGTGTGTTTGCAGTGCTTGTGTGCCCAGAGGGCTGGAGGCCTCTGTTCTCTGCAAGCAACGTGGGCGTGGCCGGGCGTGCACACTAGGCCTGGCCCCAACCATCTGCCTAAAGTTGTCATCAGATCCCCTGGGCCCAACTTCCAGTCAAGGCATCGTGCCCTCAGTGCGGGCTGTGATTCCACACATGCCCGAGACCTCAACTCGGAGGAAACCCAACTTGGTTTCTAAGCAGGGCAAGACAGAAAGGACTTCCAGGAAAGTGCTATTCAGGCAAGAGCAGAGAGAAAAATACAACGGGTGTTAAAAGAATCTGTGTTGCATGGAAACATCTACACACACACACACTCATGTGCACACATCCTACTTAACAATGACTTGGATGCATAAATGTAGACTCAGGACATTAAGAGACGCCTTTCAATCTGTGTTCTCTGAATGCTCCCTGGTAAAGAAACACCAGAAATGCCACCGAGGCTCTGTCCCTTGTGCCCCACCCACTTCCCACAATCGGAGAGGAGGATTTGCTTTACAAATCTTTCTACCTTTCTCCCTGCTCCAAGGAGCCAGCCCTCCCACCACAAACCGAACCGGAACAAATGCACACACCAAAGCACGCTTTACTGTCCTTAAATATACTCGTGTCACATAAACGTGCAGATGTCGCACCCAAATCTGCTATCATTGGTGCTTTTTACTTGAAAATCAATTTCCTCAGAGAGTGGACTTTCCCTTCCAAGTTTCTGAGAGGCTCTGGCTCTGACCGGAAATTCTGGGCTCCTCCTGCAGCTCTGCCCTCGGGCTCCCCAAGGTCCCGGGTCTTCTCCTTTCAAGGCTGCCTGTGGGAGGGCATGGGGCCAGCTCCTGGCTCTCAGGACAGCGGGGCTGAGAGCATCATACAGGTGGCCTCATGGGCCTGGAGAATTCTGACTGGGAGCGAGGGCCTCGGAAAGAGCCAATTTGGCGGCTACCGCCCACCAGCGCCTCCACCTGCTGACCTCACTGCTTGGACAGGGGAGAGGAAACGTGGCCACAGGCTCAGCCTCCTCTTCACTGGACAGAGAAAGGCAGCTTGAGAACTCTAGCTAATCACTTAGGGCTGGGGAGATGTCTGAGCAACCCCTCAGAGAAATTCAGCTAAGGACACATCTGTACTTAAAATATAGGGAAAGAGGTGACCCACAAGTACTTGGTTCCTTATTAGCACCTGCAATGATGGGATGTTATTTTGCTTTTAATTGACAGATGAAAGTTTTATTTGCAAAGCCAAGCAACCCGGGCTTCCCTGGTGGCACAGTGGTTGAGAGTCCGCCTGCCGATGCAGGGGACACGGGTTCGTGCCCCGGTCCGGGAAGATCCCACATGCCGCGGAGCGGCTGGGCCCGTGAGCCATGGCCGCTGAGCCTGCGCGTCCGGAGCCTGTGCTCTGCAACGGGGGAGGCCACAACAGTGAGAGGCCTGCGTACCACACACACACAAAAAAAGCCAAGCAACCCAAAGAGTTTTGTGGCTTCTGCATGAACTCAGAGATTATTGGACCTGGAGGCTGAAGGGCAAGAAAGCAGCAGTCATGTTCAGACAGCAGCAGACTCCCTCACTATCAGGGCACTTTGGAGCCCACTCTGGCCGAGGACAGCCTGGTTCCCCAGATGCTAACCCCTGGCAATAGCTATGGAGCTTAAAACAGGGGAGTGAGGACCTTCCCATCATCCCGCTGCGACAAAGGTCCCCCTGAAAGAGGAAAGTGTCTCCTGGGAAGGGGGGAGGATCTTCAAAGAGCATCTTAATATCGTGACTGCCATCCTAAAAAAATCTAACAAAATGCTTTTAGGGCATCAGAGCGAGCGTAGGAATGAGCAGCTAAGTAGCAAAGGCAGCCAAACAATAGACTCCTGCCAACAGGGAAAGGCTCGGGGCTGAGACGGCAGAGCCCTTCCCCGGAATCACAAGTGACAGCCGGGCAACACCGCCTGGGCCAGACCTTCCTGATGCCCCGGAGCTGCTAAAGCACCTTTCCACCACAGGCAGAGGGCTGGCTGGGAAGAGGAAAACACAGAGCCGTACCTTCACTGCTTTGTTGAATTTGACACAGAAGTCTCTGAATATCTGAAGGCACTCGTCCAGTTTCACAGTGTCTTTGTCTTCACAGAAAAAGTCGATGAGGGTGTGGGCCTCGTCCTGGAGCTTTTGCTTCCAGCGCTCCAGCTCTGCCAGCTTTCCCAGGGCAAACTGCGGGGAAGGGGACAAACAGCACACGCTGAGGTGAGTGCTCGGCCTGCTGCCTCGTGCCTGGGGTTCAGTTTCAGGTCTCACTGCACGTCCGTCAGAGCTGACAGGAGAGTAATTCACCCCAAACAACACTTTGGGGAAGCGAGGGCAACCCCTACGCAAGGCCTGAGAGCCACAGGAGATGGAGGAGCTTTAAGCTGGAGGATGCCACCGACCAAATGTTCCCCTGTAACGTCACTGGACACACGGCACAGGGGTGCAGTTGGTGTTGTTAAGGAAAACCCTGCATCTGCCTGTATCTGTTCTTCCTTCTCTCATGACTGAGGCTTATACTGGGCCAAGGGTCTACTTCAGGGTCCCAAAAGTCACTTATATTGACGAGTTGTCTTATTCAGAGGTCTGCCCCATTGAGAGGGGTTTAAACTTACCCCCAAATGAGCTCTATCAGGGTCAGTGTCACCCCCGCAGGGACAAATGCCCAGCCAGGGCTTCTTATCCGAGTCAGCTCTGTCTATGGCCCACGCTTGCACCCCTCACCCCCAAGCCATTCAGTAGATTTGGGGTGGACCTGCCGTTACTTTATTAAAACTCCCAGGAGGTTTTGATGGGTACCCATGGCTTGGAACTACTGCCCTATACAAATCAATCCTCTTGGCCTCTTTGTTTTTTTCCTAATTCTTCTAGGACAACGTCTCCGAGGCCCATATAGACTCAAGTACTGCAGCAATGCGGTGCGGCCAAAGGTAGCCCGCTCTCCTCTGCTGAGCCCCAGCCCCTTCAGGATGGGGATCCCCAGGGCCAAAGGCACAAGCAAATGTCCCCGACGGCAGCTCAGTGACATTTCCTGTTGAGCTGAGGTGAGGAAGCAGCAGGTAGAGGAGACGTAGCCCCGGGGAGACGGCATTTGGGGTCACGCTGAAGCCTGACGGTGCTTTCTCTTTCACTGGATAACAAGGCTTATATGAAGAAGGTATATTCCTTTATGAAATCACACTTCTATTTGAGAAAATTCTCCTTGGGTGGAGGGCTGGGCGTGGGAAATAGTGAAGTTGCGGGCTGTCCACCTGGCGGATGGGCTCACTGCTTGAACACTAAAGAGAGTCTCAGGAGAAATTCCGAGCAGACGCATCCCCTCCCACCTACCCACACACTAACCCCCTTCAAAACCCTTTTCTTCCACTAAGCACATTCGAGAGGTAGCAGGAAACCAAAACTATTTAGGAAACCAAATGCCAGAGAAAGTAACCATCTGAGTCAGTAACCTGAGGCAGTGTGTGCGTTCACGCTGAATTTTTCTTCGAGGAGAGAAGGGTATTAACGGAAGGCTAAATCTTTGCCTGTCATTCTCACACAGGGCGAAAGGTGGATTCCAGCCAAGAACAGCTCAACTGCAGAAAAACAGGACTTTGACAAGAATCTTCATGGGAGCTTACTCCACCTGAGATGTCTCATCGCAGATCTTGTGGGGGACAGGGAGAGTGCCTGAGCGCTTGCAGTCCCCTTAGGACTTGGGGAAGTGAAACATTCTGAATAGGGCCTGAAAAGCCACCACGCTCAGAGTTGTTTGCCAAGAGCTAGTTGCTGAACCCTTTCCTCATGGTTAAGGCCACAGATGAAAAAGCCCAAAGCAACGCTGGCAAAGCATGAATGACAGATTGGCAGTTGTCGCAGCAATCTCAACTTTCCAGCTCAAACTTGTCAGCTGTGGACCAAAGTTCCAAACCAGTACACTTGGTACCTCTCACCCAAAGGGTCAAAACACTGAAACAGATCTGCAAAACTATGTTCCTGTCATTTTTCTGCTCAAAAATGGTTCACCATAGCTTAGAGAGCAAAGTTTTCAGACTGGCATTCAGACCCCTTCGTGGCCGGACCATAACCTAACTTAAAAAATTGTATTTCCGGGCTTCCCTGGCGGCGCAGTGGTTGGGAGTCCGCCTGCCGATGCAGGGGACACGGGTTCGTGCCGCGGTCCGGGAGGATCCCACACGCCGCAGAGCGGGTGGGCCCGTGAGCCATGGCCGCTGAGCCTGCGCGTCCGGAGCCTGTGCTCCGCAACGGGAGAGGCCACACAGTGAGAGGCCCGCGTACCGCAAAAAAAAAAAAAAAAAAAAAAAAAAAAAAAAATTGTATTTAAAAAGTGAACTTAAAAAAGAAAAATAAATAGCTGTGTGGAACAGTTTACGTAGAGAGATAAACATGACTACCAGGAGGACGAGTTTAGAGTGAAAACAAGGTTTGCTTCTGAAGAACAGTCCGGGGGTGTGGATTTGCATCATAAGCCTTTCTGTGCTACTATTTAGCATAAGAGATTAACATTTAATATAAGAACTGAGAACCGAGACCTCCAGAATCCTTCTCCCAATGTGTGACAGGCCTTCCCCTTGAGTTTCTGGATTTGCTCCATTTGTCTTCACTGCAGAGCGTTTTCCTAGCTACTGTTAGATGATTCGGTGGTGATGTTTGCTTTGTCGTCTCACTTTGAGAAGAAAATCTGTGCACTTTTAAGGGAAAATTAGAGTTTAGTGACATATGAAAGAAAATACAGAACATGTGTTCAATAATAAAAACAAACTCCCAGCAGAGCCAAACAAAATCAAATGTTCACTGATGGGAGCTGCAGCTCACAGCATTTGATGTGACTTCATTACAAGGAAATGAGGGGAGGCTGAGGTTGGTCCAACCCTCAAAAGCACTGGTCCCTTTCCACTGCCCAGGGCAGCCCTGCCTCATTGATTCCAGCTCATGAGCCTCGAAGCCCTGACACTGAAGGCAGCACACCATTTCACTGAAGACTGAAAGCATGAAAAGGCGCCACTTTTTTTTTTTTTTTTTTACAAAATAAGGAAGATAAAAGAAGTATGTCAGACTGTGATTAGTGAGTCACAGTGAGCTGTCACAAACATGTTCTCTCTGCTGGGTTTTGTTGATGTTATTCCGAACAGCTCCTGCCACACCCTGTGGGGCTGGTGCATTTGGGGTGGTGAGAGGCACCAACTCTGGTGTGTTCTCCTGCCCTCCCTATAAAACATGCCAAAACGGAGCTTGTTTCTGCCACACAAACAACTGAAGGAACAACAGCCCAGGTGCTCAGGTGTCTTTAACGATCTCCGTGGAACTTCCTACTGGTGTCCAAAAGTTCGAGTGGGAGACAGGAACTCCTGAACCGTGCTTCAGAAGCAAAACCTTCTAAAGTTGCCAGACAGAAGCTGCCAAGTGTAAGCATAAGGGATCCCAGTTCACTCCCAGGCGGTGCCATCATGCAGGCAGAGCAGAGACAAACAGAGACCCTGTCCCTAACCACAGCCTCAGGGTTAGACCATATTCAGTATCCTCTGCTGAAAAACCAACCCAGCAGAGGCTGGGCACTGAAACACAAACTCCCTCTTACCGACTTGGGGGGAAAAATATGCATGGGAACCTGCTGCTTCCACAAACAGCCCTGCAAGGGTAACCAGCCTTGAGGGGCTGCTGAAGATGAGATCGGGGGACTGACTCGAATCATACACACACCTGAAGGAAATCTTCCATCTGCTGACAGAGCTCACCATCCCGCTGGACGTTCTCCTTTAGAGATCTTGTCCTGACAAAGAGCGAGTGCAGCTCTGCCTCTGTGTTATCCAGAGATAATCTGAAAGAAGAAAGGGGAGAGTGGGTACCTGGCACAGGAGGCCAGGTGTCACGCAGGTACATCAAACAAGACCCTGGAAACAGAAGGGGAGAGCTACCGTGATTGTTTACCGACCTCTGTATCTAGAGTTTCCTCCTATGTTTCCTTAAGAAGCGATTCCTTCCTAAAGACACACACTGGTTCAAAGACCAGGCTGTAATTTTGTTCTTGCTGGTGAGATAACCGAAAGCATGGGAATTGTGAAGCTTTTCATAAACTAGGTCTGAACATCTTTATGCCATCAGCATTAGAATTCAGCAGGACTCAGACACTTATACTTTCCTCTGGCCATGAAACGCAAATACAAAAGCTCTAACCCATGAAAAGCAAGGCAGAGCATGCTGATAAACGGGATATTAAGGGTGATACGGAGACACTACACAGACTGCATGTTGCTCGCCACAGGCAACCAGAGTCGGCACTCTGTGTCTTAGAGAGGACTGACACACAGCTAACAGCTCTGTGGAGAAATGGTGGAATTGATGGCAAGGCTTTTGTTACATATGTCACACCCAGATTAATAGAGCATGAATGATGTTTCTCTCGCCTGGTAAAGCAAATAGATGAAACCTAAATCCAGGTGGAATTCAATTAGCAAATTCATAAATCAAGATGCTTTCATGCTTCCATGATCAATTCTAACTTTTTTTTTTATGCAATAGTTTTCCACCTTCAGGGGCTTCCCTGGTGGTGCAGTGGTTAAGAATCCACCTGCCAACTCAGGGGACACGGGTTCGAGCCCTGGTCTGGGAAGATCCCACGTGCTGCAGAGCAACTAAGCCCATGCGCCACAACTGCTGAGCCTGTGTTCTAGAGCCCGTGAGCCAAAACTACAGGGCCCACATGCCACAACTACTGAAGCCCGTGTGCCTACAGCCACTGCTCCGCAACAAGAGAAGCCAGCACTAGGAAAAGCCCACGCACCGCAACCAAGAGTAGCCCCTGCTCGCCGCAACTAGAGAAAGCCCACGCACAGCAACGAAGACCCAACACAGCCAAAGATAAAATAAATAAATAAAATAAATAAATTTATTAAAAAAATAGGGCTTCCCTGGTGGCGCAGTGGTTGAGAGTCCGCCTGCCGATGCAGGGGACACGGATTCCTGCCCCTGTCCGGGAGGATCCCACGTGCCGCGGAGCGGCTGGGCCCGTGAGCCATGGCCGCTAAGCCTGCGCGTCCGGAGCCTGTGCTCCGCAATGGGAGAGGCCACAACAGTGAGAGGCCCGCGTACCGCAAAAAAAAAAAAAGTTTTCCACCTTCACTGGTCACTGGCAGCCACCTATGACCTGTTTGTACTTCACTTTCCATTTCAAATAAATAACCTTAGTAAATAAGTTTTTTCTAAGACAATATCTAGCTAACTTTCCCCATCTAACTCTGACCAGAAATGGAACGGTTATTTCTCTATGTATCTCTTAGAAACATTTCCATACTAGGAAGCGGAAAAAACATTCCCACACAAATTTCTGTTAGTAATTCAGAAACCAAAACAGTTTGCATCTTTGAAAATGCTCATTCTTTGGGGAGAACACTCTGGTGATCTGTAAATACAAACTCTGAACTGTTTACACCGTTGGACGGATAATCTCACTTTGGGAAAGACATGTCATCTGTGGTTAGATGTTTGCAGTCAGTAACACTGAGATGCGGGCCAGTGGCGGGGTGGGGCTTAGAAAGCTCTGGTTCATGTGTTTATGCATACGGTTCACAGCTGTCCCAACTGGATAGAGTCCCTCAGATAACAAGCAGATGACATGCACTGGGTTGATACGTGAGGTGAGGTGCTGGAGCCAGCTCATGGGACGCAGCTGTGGCTGTGGGTATCTCTCCCCAGCTCCACAGTCAGTAGTGCCACATTGGGAGCCTGAGATCAGCCATGGCAGCAGTATTTACGCCATGGAAATCACAGTTGCTACAAATCAGGACTTTTCTCCCTAAAAGGCTGGTCGTTGAACATTTACCACTGATGCATGGATATGTGTTATAAATTTAAAAGCACAGGATTCAAAATAGCATGTATACACAGATTACAGCTATGTTAAAATACACATCTATATGAGGATCAGAAGTGATCCTAAACAGTGATGTAAATACAGCTTTATGTTTGGTAGATACTTTCTCTGCAAAGTTGAGTGACTAAAAATCCTTTCACAGCCCTTGGTATGGTTCCAACTTCTTTTAATGCAATAGAAAATAAACGTACCATGTTAGATTCTAAAGGAATCAGTGATGTATGGCCCTGGAAGCTTGCCTGATATATACCAACTCCCAAGGTAACAGGCTGTGCTCTTTGAGCCCTGTCTTTTGGGTGTGGAGGTGTTTGAATTTCTTAATCCATATATATATATATATATATATTTTTTTTTTACACTGATGAGATTCATTAGAATAGACTGCAATAGTTTTTTAGATTAAAAATAAAGATTAATTTTTCAAACCCCCCAAATTCCAAAGATGCACACATACCTCTGTAACCAAATGAAAGGAAGGTCTGAAAGGTCAACAAGACAAAACTTTTAAAATTTCAAACCTGGATCCAGAAGTTGTAAAATATCCATCAGTTTTCATAAGAAGGTAGTTAAAAAAAACAAACACCTTGTTCTCACAATTCTCTTCCTTGCTTACCTAGCAGCCTCCTGAACATGATGCAGTTTTTCAGAAAAGTTTAGAAGCATAGCATCTTTCTTCTGGGCTTCCTGGAACAAAACCAGAATTTCCTCTCACTATATAGGGATAAAACTGGAATTTTGTCCACTATACGGAGAAAATTTTTTCAGGGCTTACAGGAACCGTAAAATCACTGTTCCCATTTTTAGGCTTGATACATTCAAAGCAATTCACTGAGTCATGAACTCTTAGTCTGATATTCTTAGTAAGGCTGACCAGAACTCTCCTACTCTCAAGAAACATTTAATTTCCCAGAACGACTGATCCTGACATGAAACACGACTCACGTGCGTGAAGACTCAGCGGAAGGAGGCGGCGGCTTAGCAGGGCTCATTGTTCTTAAGAGAGTCCAATATATCCTGCTGAAATACCACCCGTACCTATGAGTGTGCCTCTACTTGACCGAGCTACTTGCAGCTCTTAGACCAGTTTGCAAACTGAGTTTAATCGGAAGGCGCACAGGCCACGGGGGTGTTTGGATCCTTCATCTGTTCAGAGGGTACAAAGAAGGCAGGTCTGAAGAGGGCAGCTACCAACTCAGGAAACTTCCCCGCGTGGGCAGGGACCAAGCTACACAAAGCACCTGGGTATGGGGATTTAAAAGGGCAGCCAGGAGATGCTGCAAGCCACATGGGATGTGGAACACATTTTCTGGTTTCAAACTAGTGCCAAGTTCAATGTGCCCTCTGTCTTCTGAAGAACGCAGTCATAATAATGTGTATTGTTTATGGAGAGCTTACCATATCCGGAACACTGAGCTAATAAGCACGTTCTGGAATTATCTCCCTCCACCTTCTCAATTACCTAGTTTTGAGGTATCACTACCCCCCATCATTAGATGGAGAAATTGAGGAACTTAAGGCTTAAGTAACTTGTCTGAGGAAGTACAGCTAATAAAGGACAAGTCAAAGTCTCCCCGTTCGGGCTTCTCTGGTGGCGCACTGGTTGAGAGTCTGCCTGCCAATGCGGGGGACGTGGGTTCGGGCCCTGGTCCGGGAGGATCCCACATGCCATGGAATGACTGGGCCCGTGAGCCATGGCCGCTGAGCCTGCGCGTCCAGAGCCTGAGGGCCGTGACTGCTGAGGCCCACGTGCCTAGAGCCCGTGCTCCACGGCGAGAGGGGCCGCCGCGGTGGGAGGCCCGCACACCGCGGCGAGGAGCGGCCCCCGCTCGCTGCAACTGGAGAGGGCCTGCGTGCAGCAGTGAAGATCCAACGCAGTCAAGGATGAAATGAATGGGATAAATAGATTGAAAAAAAAATCTCTCCGTTCTATTCTGAAACTCATGCTTGAAACAAGGCTGCAACACAGCTTTCCTCCCAGGTGAAGCTATATCTATGTGATCGCTGTCAAAACAACAAGGAGATTCAATGGGAAAAACAAACCAGCACAATTCGCTATTTGAGATAATTTAACAACAAAGAGAGAACTGTCCTTGGCTCATCTCTGACTTTATAACTAGTTACTGGGGTGTCACATAGACCCAGTCAAAAATGCAATTGATGGACAGGATTCAGACCCCAAACCCTGTGTGAATGGCAAGGCCCTGTAACCCCCAGTTCACAAAGAAAATATGCAAGTGATCCCCTCATTGCTCTGACTCTTCCACTCTTTACACACAACGGGTCAAAAATCTAGTCAGGTCAACTCAGAAATGTTTCAACACCCAGGCCCCTGCTCTCCATCCCTGTGGCCATTACTCTGATTCTCAACTCTCGCCAAACAATGAGCACCAACTTCCACCAAGAGGTACCCCTATTTCTATTCTCTCTCCACTCTAACCCACCCTCCACGTTGCCTCATTTCCCTAGCAACAAAAACATACCTGGTCAGGCCATGGTGCTGTGTATAAACTTCTGTTGGCTCCCCATGGCTAAAGCATGAAATCCAGATTCCCCAGCAACCACTCTGCCTCACCCCCGACCCCTCCACTTCCCTCCAGGCCTGTAACCCCAGGTGCAGCCCAACTCAGGAATCCACAAATAGAACCTTCCTGGCACCTATGGTGCCCTTTCCTGACTCTGATGCCACCTTACACCTCTGAAAAACTTCACTGCCTTGGGGGCGGGGGTGGGTAACGTACATTCTCTCTCTGTATCAATCACTTCCACATACCTGTGCAACAAAGTGCAGGAGATTCATCCCAGGTTTATTTGCTTTTGTGTCTGCCAATTTGAGCAAAGAAGATAGTTTAAATCCTACTGCATTGCCAGCATACCCTCCCTAAAGAAGACAAATCAAAAGAAAAAATATACATACACCTTTAGACAGACAAATAAAGTTGGAAATACAACATTAAATTCTTTTTTGAACTTCACTTACTGCATTCATGATATTCCCTGCTTGTAGCACCAAGTGTAATATCGAATGTAGCTCCTCACATGACATCAGCTCTGTCAGAAAGAACACACCACGGTACCTTAGAGAAAGCTTCAGCTTAAACACACACGAGACAGCTACCACATCCAAGTTCAAGTGTGTCTGAAGCAAGCTCTGACCCTAAACTGTATAAAAGACTGAAACAAACAAAGTAGCACACTGCATGGTATATCTAATGTACCACTGGCTACTGGTGATGCACATCCTAGTGTTCAACTGGGAATCAAATATGTATGACACTTAAGTATCACACATACTTTGATAATGAAAATTTTCAAGGAGTGGAAAATACAAAAGCCTTAGGAAAAGCAGTACACTGTGTTACAGGAATAATCTCCTCTCAGCAGTTATTTCTTTATGGTTTCCTTTATATCCTTTGAGACTATATTTACGGACTATGAAAACGAATAGTGCGCAGCATTTTGCTTAGCTGCTGAGCTATGAGGAGATAAAAAATAAACAGGCTGGGATGACAGGTAAATAACTTGCAAAGCTCCAACCCTTAGCGGCAGGTACCCAGAGAATCTTTCCATTTTATTCAAAACTCTACATTTCATTTGGATTGGCTTAAAGGTTTAACAAGGAACTTATCATTGTCATATATTGGTAAACTAGTTCGTTAAACACGAAGTCTTTTGTACACACACCTACGCAAATCAACAATATTAAAAATTGCTAAAGTATTTGAAAAGCTAAAAAGAAAATGTAATTATTAAAATTACTGTATATATAGGTAATAAAATGTCACCTATGATATTGTTAATATTCTCCATTAAGTCTGGTATTACTTTCAAAAAATTACACTTGGATCACTGCCTATACTGTGTTATCTAAGAAGGCCAGGTTTTGAAGAGTAACCAGATAAGAAACGTTTCTACTGTGCCCACAAATTTGCATCACTCAATATGAAACATATTTTCCCATCTCTACTTGAACAGGAGAGACAATTCTTTCAAAATTGCTGCTTTAGGCTTGACACAGGAGGAAATTTAAAAGGCCTCTATATTGAAAGAGGAAAATTCTTCTTAATTCTTAGTCTCTTCTCTAAAATGAAGAAAATATGATGAGCTGAAGAGAAAAACTTAATACAAGTCAGAGCAACTAAACAAGAAAACCAAATTGGAATAAACATTCTACCACAATAACTAGGAACCCAGAAAGTGACCAGGAGGAAATCAGGCTGGAGATCCCAGCTGATGAATGCTGGAAACTGTGAGGGCCAGGGAGCACCAGAGACTTTGCCTTGGAGCCGGCATTCTCAGTGCCGTACATGCCAGAAAGCAAGCTCCCAACCCTATGGAATGAGACACTAGAGCAACCTGAGGAGGCTATCCAAGGGGCGAGCAAAAATTACCAAGTTGTTCACTCTCAAATGTAATGAGCCCACCAGGTGTTAGAGTCTGGAGGGGAGGCGGGTGGGAGAAGACACCACTGGAGCAGAAACATCAGGAAAGCTGGTAGAAGAAGAACAGGAGATGCCTGGGGAGGAGTCAGGACGGAAGGAGGGATGCTTCCGGAAGAGCAGGGTCCCAGCCACCAACAGAGGCCAGAGCGCTGAAGGAGACAGGCAGCTGGCCCCGGGCCCAGGCTGTGAGCACGCGCCACCGTGCACACACACACCAGACACACACAACTACACATACACCACATACACACTACACGCACACCACATACTACACACACCAGACACACAACTACACACAGCACACACAGCACATACACACAACTACACATGCACCACATATTACACACACACCAGACACACACAACTACACACACACCACATACTACACACACAGACACCCACATACTACACACACCAGACACATACAACTACACATACACCACATACACACTACACATACTACACACACCAGACACAACTACACACACACCACATACTACACACAACTACACACGCACCACATACTACACACACAGACACCCACATACTACACACACACCAGACACATACAACTACACACACACCACATACTACACACACAACTACACACACAGATATACCACATACACACACACCATACTACACACACACACACACCACATACTACAACACAGACACAAAACATGAACCATATATACACTATGCACACACCACACGCACTAAACACACACCATACACACACACCATACACACACTAAGGACATACCATACACACACTACTATACACACCACACACAAAACACACACCACACACACACCACACACATACACAGAAAGCTAATCTAGGAGAGGAACAAAAGCAAGCTGCAACCAACAAGGTTTACTCCTAAGCTTGAGATGAAAGCAGCCTTCTTTTACAGGAGGATAATATGCTAATGAATTGATTGATTGGTCAATTAATTAATTAACTGGGGGCGGCAGAAAAGTAAATGGAAATAAACTTTAAATACCATCCCTGGTAACGTCTCATTTCCCTTTTTAGAGCGTATCAGAAATGGAACTTTCCATATCTAATTTTTCAATTGAACAGTTTTTTAAAAATAAACTGCTACCAAAATTAATCAAATCAAATTACACAAAGCATCATGTATTTGCTCACCTTTTGTAGCGGTTCTTAGAATGGTTATATCTGTGTATAGAGAAGAACAAGAGGGCAAAAATTCTTTCTTTAGCACCATGGCTTCAATCCGCAGTGAACAGCTGAAAGACAAAAGGTACAGCTACAGTGTAGAATTTGACGTTGTTGATTTTAAAACCTTACTCTGCAAAGAACAGTGATGGGTGATCCTTACTTTGGCACCTGAATTAAGCAGTGCAGAAAGGAGTCTGCTAGGGACAGCTTGGCCACGTCTCCACTAAATGCCTTTAGTTTCTTTATCTAAAAGACAGATGGAAAAGGGGGTCAAGAAAAAAAGGACAAATGATTAAAATGGAACATCACTTTAAATTTCATCTTAGAATTCCTTTAGGAAAATAAGGATATCAGTGCTAAATTCAAATTAATAAAAATGTCAGCCTAAGAAAAGGGAATCATCACAGCTTACTACTTTGTTGTTTAAAAGAGCAAACGAGCAAATTAGGGAGAGGACAGCTGTGTCACTTATGTGGGCATAAACGATCCCACATGAACCAGAAAGCTGGAGCCACCGGAATCCTCAGAGAGGTTACTAAAGGGAAAGGATCAGTTCCAAGGATGAAAACGTTCTGTAAGTTATAATCTGGAAGGGAGACCACTGTTTGGAAGAAGAAAGAAGAGACTGGATAGTCACTATAGCAGAGCCTTTGAGTCATAAAGGAAAAAAATCTTATTATTTTGAGTATTTTGCATATAAGATACTTAGACTGGGGGAGGGTGTCTAACACAGATCTTCTTTCTGAGGTCAAGTCCTCCTTCACATCTAGTAGCTTTATAGGAAGGGATCACTGGATGTTGAGGTGAGTACACACTGGTTCTCCAGCAGGAAGATAAAGAGGAAAATGGCTTAAACAATTGAAAGATCAGTGTCAAGATTTCCCCCTGTGAAAAAAAATCAGGTAACATAAAGAGTGTGTACAGTGGATCCCACTTCTGTAAATTAAGAAGTGTCTACTATGCCCCGACCCTCCACGCACACGCTACAAACACAGGAACAAGACAAACCAGACGTCTGCGCTAGGTGATTCAATCACCAGTCATTATCATTTTCATCTGTTGCTCATTTTTATTTCCTAAAATGTCCACAATAAGCATGTACTACTCCTGTAAAAAGTTATACTAAAAGTTGTTAAACACACAAATATTCCTTCAACTGTAGTAAAGAAAAAAAAAAAAAGAGTTCCAACGTAGGAATATAGCCAAACAGCTAAGCAAGTAGGGATGCAGGCAAAGAGAAAGTTCTCTAACTGCCTCAGAGAGCAAGGTATGCCTTCCCCACAGAGAAAACAGGACCAACCCAAAAAACACATCTCTGTCTACTGTAATGGAGAGTCTTCCAACAACAGCACTTTATGGTCAGGAGCACCTTAAGACTGCTAGAGTTTGTAATAAGCTATAAAAGAAAAGAATCTGAAAATAAATAAATAAATAAATACACACACACTATACTTCAATTTAAAAAAAAGACTTCTAGAATAAAGCTGATAGCCTGTCTTTGAAGCTAACTGTTCCCAGTAAGCACTTACCACTTTGTTATGTTTTATAAAGCTTTCTCTCTTCCACCCCCTGGATTATGTTAGGTGCCCATAAAAATAACCTAATTTTTAAACCTCTTGAAAAATAGGACATAGGGCTTCCCTAGTGGCGCAGTGGTTGAGAGTCCGCCTGCCAATGCAGGGGACACGGGTTCATGGCCCGGTCCGGGAGGATCCCACATGCCGCGGAGCGGCTGGGCCCGTGAGCCATGGCCGCTGAGCCTGCGCGTCCGGAGCCTGTGCTCCGCAACGGGACAGGCCACAACAGTGAGGGGCCTGCGTACCGCAAAAAAAAAAAAAAGGAAATAACAGTTCAAAAACACAGAGGAGGGGTATTTGCAAAGATGCACAAACTGAAATATCTGCGTCAAAATGTAACAGTGCAGAATCACACCCCAGACACGCTGGTATTAAGTCTGGGCCTTAAGACTACATTTTTCCCCACAGGGGGCAGAAAATAGCCATTTATAGAATTGCATTATTTCCCCTACCTTTCGTGCCCCAAATTGAATTTTCCATTTTCAACCTTACTAAATCTAAGGGCAGATGGAACTTCTGCATTAACTAAACCCAAACTAGTGCCTAGTTTCTGAACTGACAAAGCCACAGGATGAATTCTGGTCCCTCCTGAGCTAGAGTCTAATGATTCACCATATATGGGCAGGGGCAGAGCGGGGCTGTGCCTTTATGTAAGACCACATATGTAGCATGGGCAAAACTTCTGAGAATCACAGCACGGTTTCCTGTCTGAAGCACAAGAACAGGTCATGCTAAGTACACTTGGTAGATATTTTCTATTCAACATGTGCTGAACTGTAAATGAACAATGATTAATCGCCTTCACTTACATAATGAGTGAAAAATGCTTATGGAGTTCAAGAGAATGGTGATACTAAAGATAGTATTTGATTTAAATGCCACATATACAGTTCTTAATTCCATTTCAAAATGCGATTTATGTTCATTAAGAGGGATTACTGTGCCTTCAGAACAGAGAGGAAGGTAAAAAAGAGGGTGGGCAGACCCTATAATTATTCTGCATTCTCATCACCATCAAAAAGCATTTAGCAAACCTTGTTAGGCATCATTTTCTTGGCTGAGCCGAGGGATTCTCATGACGACCCAGCTGTGCCTGGTTTCTGCCCTAACAGCAAACAGCGTGCTCCTTAAGACTCACGCATTCCGAAGGGCAGGCCTCCTTCATCCCCTCTAATTCCACTCACATGGCCTTGAAACAGCAGGGTTTCCCACCAGCAGACCCACCCAACAGAAGACACTGGGGCTTCCTCCTCCCAGGAACAGAGAGTAAACGAACAAGGTAAGAATGAGGTGATAAAAATATCAGGGGAGGCGACCCAACTTGCTGCCATAGACAGCAGTTCCACCTCCAGCCCTGCATCCCTGATGCTGACTGTGGCGGTAGGGTGCCAGCGCCAACAGAGAGAAGGGCTCCTTCTCAAGCAGCCTCTCAGGGCCCAGACAGGGAGCATGCTTTTATTTCTGAGTCTACCTTCTCCCTCTGCGAGTTTTAATCATGAATTTGAGGCAAGACAAAAAACGTGCCAGATAAAAGTTTTGCGGTGAAGGGCAGAGAATGTCTGAAAACAAATTAACCTGGGGTTAGCCTGGCAGCTGGGCCGTTTCCGCCCATCAGTTCAGTGTGCTGACAAGTTGACATATTATGAGTGACACTCACACCAGTACTTCGTGAGAGCGGAGGTGACGCAAGGCTGGCCTGAAGTGAGGTGGGGTTTGGGGAACCTTTGCCCTTCCTTCCTCAGAGGGCGGTGGTGGAGTGCGGCCCAAGGAACTGCTCTGGGGTCAGACAAACCAGGTCAAACCCACTGCCCTCGACAGCCCATTAGTCACATGGCACTAGATAAGCTCTATCTAACCTGTGTGGGCCCCAGTTTTCTCATCTGTTAAATGACGAATAGCTTACAATGTCACTGTGAGGATTAAATGAAACACACACGCGCACACACACACACACACACACACACACACACACACACACACCATGGGTGTGATTTATTGACCTTCTGTGTGCCAGGCACTCACTGGGCTGAGCACTCGATCGCCTCTGGCCCCATCTGGGGCCTGGAACATGGGGCACTCGATCAACGTGTCGCCCATCCTCATGCTAAGAATGAGCACAAGACGTTACCCCACAGACCTAGCAACGCACAGTGACGCACAGCGATGCATTTATTAGCATTTTTCTGCCACATTCCTAACCCTCTCTCAGTTGGCCGTGCCTCCTCCTTGGCCTCTTCTCCATCCTCTGCCCTCTACCCAGGACTGCAGGGTAGGTCCTGCATCCGAGTGGGGCTGGGCTGCCCAGCACTGCCAGTCTGTCCCTGCAGTGGCAGCGGTCAGGGGGGTGGCTCCCTCCGCTGGTCTGGGGAGGGCGCCAAGCAGCCCTGAGGACTGTCAGGGCGCACCTGCTGAAGGAAGCTCCCAGAGGAGCCCGAGGGTGTGCTGAGCCGGTAATGTAAACAAGCAGGAGTGTGACAGCTAGTCAGATACTCAGACCCCGGTCACTCCGGTGACCCTGCAGGGGGAGGGGGAGGGCCTGGCCCAGCGGCTGGGAAGGCAGTGCAGGACCCCAGCCGTCTCGTCTCCGCGCTCAGCTAATCATCTGGGGGTGAGAGAGTGCCTCGGAGTCTCAGGGCAGCGCTGGGGTGGGTTTTAGTCATCACTCTCTTAACAGCCTCTTTCCTCTGAATTATATCCCACAGACAACGCAAGAAACAGGGTTCTTTAAAACACGTGAGGTTCGACAGCTAAGCTGCTTCTTTGAAAGATCCCTTAGTCTTCCACAGGCTTTGCATTTTTAATTTTTTTTAATTTAAGTTTTTAATCACCTCTGATTGTTAAATTAGGAAGGAAGGTATTAAGGAAACCGCATTTAACCTTCTGCCTCTTCATGGCATGAAGCTGGCAGCCTCCCTCATGCCTAACTCCCATTTAGTTGGAAATTTAGAGCTCTGTTAGGACTAGGTATCAGAGCAGTCCTAAGGAGGAAGCATGAACAATGCCCAAGCGGGGAGAAGATTTCCAGAGCAACTAAATCTTTTTGAAAACTCAATTCATTAAACACTATCCATCCTAATAAAAGATCTTGAGTACACCTGAAACTAACACAATACTGTAAATCAACTACACTTCAATTTAAAAAATACATTTTGGAATGCCCATTCTTCACATAAAAGATTAAGGAGTGTTCAGTATATAGGATCCAGGGTAAATTTTGATCTAATGTACATTTCCCTCAACTCTTTAAGACGCTTTACTAACATTAACAAATGCCATTAATTAATCTTGGCTTTGGTAAATTATAATTGATTTGCAAACAGAAAACCTGAGGTGGAGAGAGCAGCTCAGAATACATAAATATCCAGTTACCCCCGAAGACCCTCAGTTTGGCATTGTGAGTTTATCACTGATGGAAAAGAAAAAGCACAAATACATTTCTCTTGTTGTTACTAATGGCACTAAAGTCATGTTCCATAAATTATGTCTAGGAAGTGGAGAGAGATCGGGGAGGGAGGAGCCAGCAATATGTGTAAAAGGATAACTTACACTTTTTACTTTATAAGGCTCTGTATTATTTAAATGTTTACAAGCAAACGTATTCGTGTAACTTCTTACTGAAACTTTTAAAGGGTCACTTCTTCAGAAATAGACAATATCACAATTTTGGAAGGTTTTACAAAACTGTTTTTCTCTTTTTTATCCTATCAAGCTCCTAATCATTCATAAATTCAGTTAATTCACTCCAAAAAAATCAATACTTTTATTTATATTGTGGTACTACATTGCTATCATAGCAATCCCCACCTTTTAATCAATTATATAGACAACATTTATTAACAATTTATCTCTCTCTCCAGTTTTTAGAGCATCTTTATTCAAAAGTGGCCTTTTTTTCTTTTTTTTTTTTAAAAGTATATGTATTATGAAACAACCCCAGGTACACCCTAGGCAAAGATCATCCTTAGATGACAGAAAAGGGAACTAACATTTATTGAGCTCCCATGTGCCACGTACCATGTTAGATGCATAACTAGGGCTTAATCATCAACAGTCCAGTGAGGTAAGCATCATTATCCTCATTTTACAGGTGAGGAAACTAAAATTCACAGGACTTACGAAAACTTGCCCAACTTTCTCAATTAAGGGACCAGCGCCAATTTAAGCCTAGGTTCTCCAACTTGCTAACCCATACTCTTTCTACTGGGTAACTTTTAATTGTTAGGCGAGAAAACTCCAGCTCTGGGTAGGAGAGTGCCCTTCCCATGTGAGTTCTGACATTCCTAAAAATATTAAGCTTTTATTATCACTCCTAACATTTAAAACTCACACCCCAAATTCCTTACCTCCTCTGACTCTGGCAAAAGCTTAAGAAATTCACGTAATGTCTCTGATCCATAATGCTCACTCTTTCCTTGATGAATATCTTCCACAATGGACAGAGGAGACCTTGAAAAGACAATGATCAGATTCCGTTTCACACTGGCTGGAGTGCCAAAGAAACACAAGCCAGGGGAAATGAAAACAAACCCCCTCCACCCTCCCTTCCATTCCACCTCCTTCCCAGTCTGATGGGTGGTTTTGTGTCAGCGATCATAAGAGCCCAGGGAAAGCAGGGATCCTGATACACCAGAGGCCCCTTTCCCCAGAAAACCATCCTCGGGCATCCCAGAGAGGGCGAAGGTAGCAAGAACCACTGGGAGTCTTCTCTGGGAGAAGAAAAGCAGTTCTGTGGGACTCCTGGAGCCAGAGCCCTCTCCTTTCCACCTGAGGACACGTGAATTTAACAGTGTTTGACTCACCCATCCATCCTCCACTCATGGAGCAACACCTCAGGTGAATTTATAAATTCCCTGACATGTCAGGCATGGACAGATGCCCCAAGGTAATTCTCCCTGGACTCCAAGCCACCTGATTATGTTTTTATGGAGGAAAACAGCGGAAAGCGACACACACTTGGGGCCTCCTCAAGCCACGTGTCTAAAAACAATTTGAAAGTGTGAGGGATGGCTTTTCCTCATTAGAATCTGCATTTCGGCTCACACCCACAGACTCTGATGCTGACGAGCAGGGATGTGACTAAAGTTTCAAATGTGTGCAAAAATCTTACTTCTTAAACTGCTTTAGAAATATCCCAATGTTCATGCTCCGTTTTGCATCCAAGATAGTAATCTGGAAAAAAACAAAGACACGTAAGATTATTAAAGTATGAATAAGAAGAGTTGGAGGAAAGAAGAGAATTAAAACCTATCAAAATACAACACCAATTTTAATGTATAAGAGAGTAATTCCCAATATGTAAATCTGGTGATTAACTGATGCACCTAATATAGTTTTATGAATATCAAAATACTATTATCTCACCAAATTTACTTTCTGCAATATGTATTTCCCTAATGGTAATAATTACATATATCTGGGCTTCCCTGGTGGCGCAGTGGTTGAGAATCTGCCTGTTAATGCAGGGGACACGGGTTCGAGCCCTGGTCTGGGAAGATCCCACATGCCGCGGAGCAACTAGGCCCGTGAGCCACAACTACTGAGCCTGCGCGTCTGGAGCCTGTGCTCCGCCACAAGAGAGGCCGCGATAGTGAGAAGCCCGCACACCGCGATGAAGGGTGGCCCCCGCTTGCCACAACTAGAGAAAGCCCTTGCACAGAAATGAAGACCCAACACAGCCAAAAATAAATAAATTTAAAAAATAATAATTACATATATCTTTTTGGGTTTTTTTTGGCTGTGCCATGTGGCTTGCAGGATCTTAGTTCCCTGACCAGGGATCGAATCTGGGCCTACATCAGTGAAAATGCTGAGTCTTAACCACTGGCCCACAGGGAATTCCCATATAGATCTATTTTAATATTGTATAATTTAAAATAAATTATATTAGCATTTTCTAAATTTTGCAATTTCCTCTTAGAATAGTATAGCCCACATTTAAAAGCCCTAATTTGGAAATAGATGTCTTATAGCCAGAATCATATGAGATTTGAACTCTGAAGCTGTTGCAGAGTGAGTCCCAACCCTGAATCAGGGATGTAAAAGGACCAACACTGTTATTTTCAGAAACATAACAAAATTCTTAATATTTTTCTAAAGGAAAATTTTATTTTCATTGGGAAAGAATATGTATGTCCAGTAGCCCTTTTAGGAGGAGGTAAGAAAGCGTCCTACACTTTATTTACTCAGAATTTAAAAAGAAAAACTTTTGTGCTGTATTTTACCAAGTCTAAGATGCGTTGTTTTTGTTTATTGGCATATGAATATCTCTGGAATCAGGATATGTCTTATAATATATGGATCACCTTTGATTTAATAAAATATGGTGGCCATTCTAATGTACCATCCAAACCCAGATTTTGGCTGCAATAGATTTAAGCTGTTCAGAATTACAGTAGTCTCCCCTTACCCACAGTTTCAGTCACCCTAGGTCAACAGAAATCTGAAAATATTAAATGCAAAATTCCAGAAATAAACAATTCATAAGTTTTAAACTGTGTGCTGTTCTGAGCAGAGTAATGAAATCTGAAATCTCACGTCTCGGGACGTGAATCATCCCTTTGTCCAGTGTATCCTGCCCGTTAGTCACTTAGTAGCCACCTTGGTTATGGGGTTATTGTCACGGTACCACAGTGCTTGTTCTCAAGTGACCCTTATTTTACGTAGTAATGACCCCAAAGTGCAGGAGTAGTGATGATGGCAACTTAGATATGCCAAAAAGAGGCCGTAGAGAGCTTCCTTTAAGGGAAAAGGTGAAAGTTCTCAATAAGGAAAGAAAAAACTTGTATGCCAAGGTTGCTAAGATCTACGGTAAGAACGAATCTTCCATCCATGAAATTGTGAAGAAGGAAAAAGAAATTCTTGCTAGTTTTGCTGTTGCACCTTGAACTGCAAAAGTTAGAGCCACAGTGCAAGATAAGTGCTTCGTTACAATGGAAAAGGCATTAAATTTGTACAAGATATTTTGAGAGAGAGACCACATTCACATAACTTTTATTATAGTACGTTGTTATTGATGAAATAAAAATTCGTATTCTAAGGCAAATCAAGGAAAATGTAAACATAAAAATTTTTCTCTGCCCTTTGGCCTCCTCTTTCCCCTCTACAGGCATTGCGTATCTGCCTTATGCATCGACCAAACCTCCCCATCAGCAGAAATACCTGCTCAACCATAAAGAGCAACATTCTCCTGGCATCAACAAGATAACTCCTTAGGAGATAACCTTCCTTCTTAATCTTGTAAGGGGCCACCATGACCTATGACCCACTATTCGCTTTGTACGGGTATATCTGGACTGTGTAAACTGTCAATAATACGTCATTTAATGCACAGTCCTCTGTCTCAAAAATGTATACAACTGTGCTTTGACCTCTAATGGGCGGAACAGTTCTCAGAGCTTTCTGAGAGGCTGCTCCCCGGTTATAAACCTCAATTTGGCTCAAATAAAATTTTCTGTCTTTCTTAGATCAGCTGATCCATTTTTGTTCGCTGACATTATTGTTGGTCTATTTTGTTATTCCTTATTGTTGTTAATCTCTTACTGTGCCTAACTGATAAATTAAACTTTATCATAGTTGCGTATGTGTAGGAAAAAACACAGTACAGATCTTCCTCGACTTATGTCCAGATAAACCCACCATAAATTGAAAATACTGAAAAATGCATTTAATACACCTAATCTACCGAACATCACAGCTTAGCCCAGCCTACTTTAAACGTGTTCAGAACTTTTACATTAGCCTACAGTTAGGCAAAATCATCTAACACAAAGCTATTTTATAATAAAGTGTGGGACATCTCACGTAATTAATGGGATACTGTACTGAAAGTGGAAAACAGAATATGTGTCAGTGTATCGATTGTTTGCCCTTGTGATCGCATGGCTGATGGGAGCTGCTGCACCACCATTGCCCCAGCATCACAAGAGGGGCTGTACCGCAAATGGCTAGTGGGGAAAGATCAAAACTCAAAATTCCAAGAACGGCTTCTACTGTATGCCTATTGCTCTCACACCATCATAAAGGAGAAAAATCTTAAGTTGAGCCGTCATGGGACCATCTGTGTATATAGGGTTTGGTACTATCCACGGTTTCAGGCGTCCTCTGGGGGTCCTGGAACGTATCCCCCGCAGATAAGGGAGAACTACTATAATAATTTGGAAGGGTTTTATCAGACTAAAATTTAGACAGAATCTTTTTTCAGGGGGTGGGTATTGTTAAATACAGAAGCCATTTCTTTGGAAGTAAATATCCAGGATACATGGAAGAAAGATAACCTTAAAAGTCCGCAATTTTCCCCATTTGTTTTTTGGAAAAGGGAGACGAGCGAAATAGGAATGTTGTTATAAGGCTCTTTCTTTCCAAAGGTATGTGATACACTGTGAACAAAAAAGAAACAGGTTTCAGATTAAATTCCTGATCTCCGGGCCTGCTTCTGAGTTTATAAGAGGCAGCAAGTCTGTTAACCAAAGTTAATGGGACTTCCTGGCTAGAAGGTTAAATTTTTACAAGAGTGTGGTTGCCTTCTTTTGAAGACTAATCTTAAACAATCACATTATTTACTGTGCTAGGGGTTTATTTCATGTTAACACAATCACCTGCCAGCCATAAACTAAACTCCCAAGCTAAGAGGACAGGCTCCTTGTTGGAATTCTACCCACGGATTACAGTTCAAGTTCAGTGTAAAGGGAGGGGAGAGGAGAGGGGAAAGAAAGGGTGAGAATAAAACCTGTCAAACTTAACATCCTTTAAGAGGAAAGCTTTTACCAAAGAGAGGAATCTAAATTTAAGACAGAAACTATGTGCTTATTATAATTCACAAATTACAAAGTAGGAGCAAGTGCATTGATCTGGCTATATACATACATATATCCGAAGAGCTTTCTCTGCACTCACTTCTATCCAGAATGGGGGAAAAACTTTTTATATTTTTTCATTAAATTACCACCTCCTGCTACATTTAACCCTTGACAGCAGCACCCTCTCCGCCTCCACACCCAAGCCCCACCCTCACCCTCTTCACCCCTCAACCCTCTGGGACTCTGTATCCTCAGCCTAGATCCATAGCTATTATTGCTGGAAAAGTGGTGGAGAAATTACTGTTATTGTTCCTATTTGACAGATAAGGAAACTGAGCCTCAGAGATGTCATTTTATACCTTCCCCAAAGCAATACTGAACTGAAATGCCCCAGGGTCTCTCTGGTTCCTGTTCACTCTAGTTCCTGTGACTTTCAATATTGCTGCTGATACAGGAGAACAGAGAAGTAGGGAAGGTTCCCCACCAGCCCAGTATCCACATTGGGATGCTTCTCTGGGAATGGGGGCAGATCTGCAGAGAGCCATCCACAGAGACCAGCCGAGGCCCCTGGTGACCCCAGAGTTGTATCTGTGGGACGAAGGCCAGGACTCACGTTCTCACCAGCTGAGACGGCCGCCGGGAGTGGAGCTCAGGCAGGGAGTGGAGCTCAGGCCACGGGGAGCACAGGGGGCCACGCCTGGGGCAGCAGCTGTGTCACCAGCGAGGAAACTGGTCACTAATTTAAGGGAATCCGGCAACACTCCTAAGGGAAAACCTGGGCTGGCCATCGCTGAGCAGCGTAAGGGGGAAAACAAAGCCCAGCGCCTCCTCCAAACCACAGGAAAATGAGACAGTTGATAACACTGCAGGGACAGTGTCCTTCTCTCCGGGCATCCTCAGCTCTGCCCAGTGCACGGGCAGTCTCCTCTCAGAGGGCGTCACACTCAGCCTTCTAAAGCGGTGTTATTACACAGTCCTTTAAAGAGGGTTATCACTACATGTGTAAATTAGCTTATCTTACTTCCCAAAGGCTTGCCGGCAGTTCAGACGCCCAAGCGTGTGCAGCTAGAGGTGCTTTTGAGTCACTCCCAGGAGCGCACTCCTCGTGGACTGCACAGGTGGAGACAAACAACCCTGGGAACAGGGGTGAACTGACCTGGCCCCTCCCTCCCCACCAGTTCAATTAATCCGCACCTACTCTTCTGGACACCGCAGGCCTGCTGAGGCAGGTGTGCTCAGCACGTACAGAGCTCATGGCTTGTCCCATTAAAGGCCCACCCAAGAGTTACGCCATCCCTGGTGAACAGGGGAGCAAAGACGTCAGGCGATGTGCTCAGCTCATCCACCGCAAAGACGTCCCACCCACTCTCGTAA